TCAACCCATGTATACTGATTAACCCATGTATACTGATTAACCCATGTATACTGATTAACCCACGTATACTGATAAACCCATGTATACTGATCAACCCAAGTATACTGATCAACCCATGTATACTGATCAACCCATGTATACTGATTAACCCATGTATACTGATCAACCCAAGTATACTGATTAACCCATGTATACTGATTAGCCCATGTATACTGATTAACCCATGTATACTGATCAACCCATGTATACTGATTAACCCAAGTATACTGATAAACCCATGTATTCTGATTAACCCAAGTATACTGATTAACCCATGTATAGTGATCAACCCATGTATACTGATTACCCCATGTATACTGATTAACCCATGCATACTGATTAACCCATGTATACTGATCGACCCATGTATACTGATCAACCCATGTATGCTGATTAACCCATGTATACTGATCGACCCATGTATACTGATCAACCCATGTATGCTGATTAACCCATGTATACTGATCCACCCATGTATACTGATTAACCCAAGTATATTGATTAACCCATGTATACTGATTATACTGATCAACCCATGTATACTGATCAACCCATGTATGCTGATTAACCCATGTATACTGATCAATCCATGTATACTGATTAACCCATGTGTACTGATTAACCCATGTATACTGATTAATCCATGTATACTGATTAATCCATGTATACTGATTAATCCATGTGTACTGATTAACCCATGTATACTGATCAACCCATGTATGCTGATTAACCCATGTATACTGATCAACCCATGTATGCTGATTAACCCATGTATACTGATCAACCCATGTATGCTGATTAACCCATGTATACTGATTAATCCATGTATACTGATTAATCCATGTGTACTGATTAACCCATGTATACTGATTAACCCAAGTATACTGATTAACCCATGATTCATTAGGAAAAATAATAATTGTCATTTCTTTATTACAAAATGCATTGTATTTTCATTCCAGCTACAATCAAATTCTCCTATTTCTTGATTTCTAAATATGTGAACACCGCTTCACACTGATTCCTGGAAACATCGAAGAAACATGAAATAATCTGATTTCTGATTAAACATCACAAATCACATTTGCAACTCTTCAAAATTCAAACAGATTTCATCAAAGATAAGGTATTGATGCTCATCAATTATCCTGAAAACAAGAGGAAAGTAATAAGTAACATTAGATGAGAACAAATTAAGAAATATTCTATAGTCAGCATTCCCTATAGGAAAAAATAAAACAGATCAATTGATCATTAGTACGTCATTTAAACTCAATTTCATTAAGACACAGTTATAATTGATATTTCCTGCTGAAGAAAAAATATTTAGCTTTAAAACAATTACCATGTTTTTGTCATGTTGTTATCCATACTTATTAACCCATGAATCTATTTATAACCTCTATAAAAGCTGGAGGTGTTGTTTTACAGAAATGCAGATATCTATTAACCCCCCCACCCTGAGAATTTTCTTTAAAAATCATGTGTTTTCAGCATTTTCCTCAATNCCCCCCCGAAATTTGAAAACTCCCCCAGATAGGTCTCTGGATCGTCCACTGCTGGTATTAAACTATACCTTGGTCAAACATTTAGGACACTAACGGTAAAATTCAAGACATATGTCCACTAGTACAACCAACCTTGGGTGTTAGCTCGAACACAACTATTACAAAATTGCAATCATTGACTCGGTAAAGGGGGTATTGCAATGTCTATAAAAGTAAACCAACGTAGCAAAAATATCAAAATATTCTGTATAGCTATCTAAGGTTTAGTTTATCACTTCAAAATTTTAGAATAACCATTCGATCATCATAACAATAAACAATATAATTTGCACTCCTTTCTACATGCAAATGTTTCTGAAATGAAATAACAATAAATATTTCGTAATCTGTAAAAAACAACCATCTGTTTATAACCCGATGTTATTGTAAACTCATGATCAGAGGACAGTAACTTGTGATAACAAGCAGAGGAAACAGACGTCTCTGAAGGGCCTGCAGTGTTTGTTGTGGCTACGGTTCTACGTCAAACGAATCAATAGTAAACAGGATTACGAACTGACAAAATTATCTCATTTTACTCTTCAAGTTGAACGTCTCGATTCCAGCTAGGTCCTTCCTCACAGATTCACACTACATTGTTAGTCCAAATAATCGTTAAGATATGACAAAACAGGCTGCTAAAGAGGATTTTAACATCAGGGACAAGATAGCGAGTCAATCTAGAACCACAGTCAATTACTGATAAGATTAAGTTAATGCTCCATACTACGTTTAACCAATGAATATTTTGGTATTTTGTTGTAATTTCCGGATCTCCATAATTGACTCAGCAGTAATAGGCTCCGCACTGTAATCTAGTTGTAGGCTAGTTGTAGGCTGGGTAGGAGAGTCTGGTAAGACACAGGATACAGACAAAAGGTTTAAGTTAATACCTGGTAATTTCTCTATCACATTAAAACCTAGAAAAATAGCAGAACTCTGCAAAAAAAATTAAAAAAAAAATATCTACACAATAAAGCTCAATTCCTATCCCTTAAACATTTAAAAACTGGAAATAGGAAAAATCCTTTCCATTAAATCTAGGTCCAGATCATTGACATTCACAATCGTGAGGTGCTATACATTTAACGTCTCCATGAAAACATTTATGAAACAAGATTTATCCACCGAGATGAATTTTTCACAAATATTATGATTCCCATATGTTTCACAGTTGCCATGGCAACTAAAACATATGGTGCAGTGTATGACGTGAATTATTTCTCCTTGACTTGTTGAACATAATATTGATACTTTTAGCCTACTAAGAACTTCTGCCCTAAATCTAACCTTCACAATTGTAAAGAACCACCAACGATCTCTCCCATTTTTGTTGTTACAGTAACATACTTGTATCAATACCTGCAGGTAAACAGAAAGTTAATTATTTGACACATTTGCTGGTTTCCTACAGAGCCGACATATGCTTAATCCGGAGGTTTATAAAACATTATACTAATCATTTATCTTATCTGAGAGAAAAACAGCCAGGCGGTAGTTCTTAACATTTAGCAGTTTGATCACTTGCCCAAAAATATCACAGCAAACTTATTTCTGTTCTATAACATACTACAGATTAACTGACCACCAGCTCTGCCCTATAAAATATCACCATATCTTTGTAAAGAGAACCACTAACATAAATATAACAAATTTGTCACTGCTGTGAAATAATTGTAGAAATTGCCTTTTCAAAAGAAAGAGTTCCAAAAAAATCATGTTGTCATGCTGTTCACGGATGTTTGAAAAAAGAAATATATAAAAGAAAACATAAAAAACACCATGGGTCGAACCCTGGACCTTTAGATTGCATAGCCTACCCTTTATCTGACAAATACAGACTTTTTATTAACATCTCTGCCCTAATAAATACAGAATTTTGTTTATATCTCTGTCCTGATATAAACAAAAAAATTACTAATATGTCTGCCATAATATTTAACTGCAGGATTTTTACTTATATCTCTGCTCTGATAAATTGACACATCACGACATCTTGACTGAACACAGGGTATTTATGGTCAACAGAAGTATCCAGGCATCTGTCAGCATCCATCTGATATCAGGCCAGACCTAGATACACAAAGCATCCTACCTAACATTTCTATACACTCCTTGCTCTTTTTATTATTCCCAAAATGGACATTACTATCAATCAATTTTAGGCAATGCAACATTAGTTAGGGCCTAGAATCAGATTATAACCACTTCCTAACAGCTCTTAATATTCTAGGTAACAGAATAAAGAAACCCCTTCGTTATCAGTTACAATGACACTCCAGAAATATCTCTAAATACAATCAATACCGAAGGTTTAATGTGATTTTTTTTATGAGGAATAATAACAAATTTTGTATGGTTATGGAAGTGAATGCTACGAATTTAGCATTCTCATGAATATTCATATTAGATCTGACAAGAGCCGCTGGGCTCTAATGATCATATGCTGAGTTTGATTGGGCTTAATATGTCATGCCTGTCTGCTCATATTACTGATATTTAAAAATGTTTAAAATTTAGTGAACAACTGATTTCTTCATGCTCCAATTCAAAATGTTCAGTTAACTACACAGAGACAATGTTTAAACTGTTTGAAATAGTCATGAAACTACATCTACAAGTTTGCTGTACTAAATCGATTTTACATTCTGTTGATGACAAATACAATGTCCCCTTTGCACAAATCTGTCAGTAAATTTAAAGAACTCTTAAGTCGACAATACTGAAAAATCATCGTTTCGTATATATTTACCATATTTTACCACTACCGGGGGTAATAGGCAGACATGTTCATCATAATAACAAAGGATTGGTATGTAATCACAACATGCTCAAGCGTCACCAGTAAGCTGGTACTTATATCTATTTCATATCTTTGTCATAAACTCAAGAATATTTAGTCATGGAGTATCAATATTACCTGTAATCTTAAAATTTGATTCTGTGGTTACCACAGGTAATATATATAGCATTTGATTTAAATCTGCTTCATAATCATGATTGGTTTCCTCATTTTAATCGTCTAGTTGTTAAACAGGCTTCTGATCAGAATTCATGAATCCTGCAATCATGGTCAGCTTTAGCAAATTAACCCTTTCATCCCTATGTAAGTTTAGCAGACTTTACCTTACATTGATCTGGATAAGTCTATTATGGTTGACAGTGGTGAAAGGGTAAAGACACATGTTCAATTTGCATTAAAACATTATTTACGTAACAGTATTTGTTCTTTTTAATTTGAAGCTGAAAGGTTTTTAGTTTGTAATATTGAGCATTTGTTCATCTGGAAAAGTCTACCTCTGCTAGAAAATCACTTTTTTGTACATAGATAAATGAGAATTAAAACTGCAAGCAAAAACATACCCGGTACATTAGTTTATAGAATTAGGCATAGGACAATAACTTAAATATTACCTGTAGTATAAGTAGGCACAAGAAATAGGCGTTGGCCAGTCGTTGGAATTGCTCGAACATGTTCTTTGGTAGGAACGAAAATAAATTGTACTTGGTGGTACATATGTAGTTATTCTGTAAAAAACAAGACAAAACAGGTGTAAGACTGATAATGTTTTTAAGTTTTTAACTGGTGATAATCTTAAACAAATTTAAAATATATTTATTTAAACTTATACATATGATTTTCATTAAGGTATATTGGTAAGTTTTACCGAAAAAGAAATCTTTAAATCAAAATGGGAACAAATTAAAATGCTTTGTTTCAGAAGAAAATTCCTGTTTGCCATTTCAATCAACTCTACACAGCATGAAACAGGATTTTATTTTTAAGACCATCATTAAGAGTCACAAAAATAGTTCTGCATGAAACGTAGGCAGATTTTTTTTATAAAACTATTATTGTGTTCAATAAAATAAGAGAATATAATTGGGGCAAAACAACCTACACCTTTCATATGCCAACAAATGAGAAAACATTTCACAATATACTTCAATAGCCAAAGGAATAAGACAAGGAACACTTTTTTGTCCTTATATTTTATAAACAAACAAAATTTAGGATCTGCCTCCCTTTGCCCAATTCTAAATCATCATAAATATTTGAATAAATTTTAAATAAACTTTGTATATAATGGGGCACAAGGCCTGATTTTAGTACGAGACACTTTCATGCCTTTGTAAGGATAACAAGCTCTCTACACCCCTGGAATATGTCATAGTAAAATTGAAGGGTCAGTGTACTCCACCTTGTGGATGAGACAAGAAGACTAGTTTGGTCCTTTAGGCTTTGAAGTCGGGTGTCACTCCTTTCAAATCTTCAAAGGACAGGTATCAGCCTAGCAATTGGTCAGGTTTTTTTTACCCGAGACCAATCAAACAGCTATCTTTGTGCCTTCAATTTTGCTATGACGGGTGCAGTGAGCGTAAGTGAGCATAACCCCTGGAGTATCGAGGATGCACTGTGTCGGACAACATACAATGCCAATAGAAATGAACAAGAGTTCCTCAGTTGTACAAATGACCGACTTTCACTGTTGTTTCATCATCATTTATTCATTAAGCAAGCAGACATCCTTATTTCTGCTTAAAGCTTTCCTGCAGATTTTCCCTGAAATACTTACCGCGTACATAAATTGTTTGTTGTAGGTGGAGTCATTGGCCTTAATTCGCCTCTCCAGCTCTGCAATTAAAAACAGAGACAAAATCTGATAAATGTGATAAAGAAAATTCCTAATTAAAAAGATGCATGTTTACCTACATTAATATATTAACAGATTTGACCATCAACAGTGCTATCCAATATACCTGCATTCAGTCACCATTATAACTCCCTTGGATTTCACCTTTGGACGTTTACCCTTTGCGGAACACCTGGTCCTGATTGTCCTTATCATTTTTCAGAGATCTTCATTCATATAAATCTTTAACTTTGTTCATATTTTGCCATAGTTTTATCAATTTTGAGTTCAAATTATGGTTTTATTAAAATTTAATTTGGTATTCCTGTTGTTTTGAAAATGACGACCTAAACCCCCAAATCTCTTTTGGTACAAAGACTTTAACAGTTTGTTGAACCAGGTCTTAATTGCTGTTTTATACAAATGCTTTGCTATGGGTGCGAGAAATTGCTTGGGAAGTTTGAACAAGATTGACGGAAAATGGTTTATAATTTTTTCATATGTAGTTCCTGACACACATCAACTTGACCTTAAAATTTGCATTTGACCTTTCATACACAAAAAATAATACAAATTATATATTTATGTTCTTGGCAAATCATATCGGTAAATAGTTTACAAAACATTAGAAAAGGAAAACTGATGAATGGCAAATGTCAAAGTGACCTTTCACCTTTGGCTTGTTAGCTCACTGTGACCTTTCACCTTTGGCTTGTTAGCTTACTGTGACCTTTCACCTTTGGCTTGTTAGCTCGCTGTGACCTGTCACCTTTGACTTGTAATTATATAAGGTCACCGTCACTTTTCATCTTTGCCTTGTGAAATTCATGAGAATAAGTCACAGTGACCTTGACCTTTGAACTCGAAATATAGGTTGTTGACCTTTTGTCTGTAGAGTTTTTATAGATATATTGTAGGTACAAAATCTACAAAGATAACAACACAGCCTGGAAACCAATGTCTTTCCAGACAGGCAGATGTGGAGAAAAATCGTAAGTATTTATCAGTTCCCATATCCCTACCTCTCCAAACTCCGTCTGAGGCAATGTAAAAAGCATCTGTGGCCACGCAGGCCTGATAGCAAATATCCTTCTCTCATTAGACAATGTACCATCAAAAACGAGTCAATTCGTGTATAATTTTGTTAATGACGTCTGGCTTATGGGCGGCCATTTGATTCTTGTCGTGGCAGTGACTACATCTTCTGCATGCGAACAAGAACTAGGCTAAAACGGTTATCTAAGTTAAGATATCTGGGAAGCTTTAAGTAACCATTATATGGTATATCTATTTCATCAAATTACGATGAACGAGTCGTGTCGCTAAAAAGAACAATCGGACAAGATACGGAGTCACAACACGATAACAAGAACGAAAGAATATACACTGTATACAAGAGTCCCATGGGGCCTGTATATATGTACTGTGTACTTGGTGGTTTTATTTCACTTTAGTATAAAAATAAAAGAAGAAAATTTTACTTACATTTTATCAATGTCAATATTGCTATTGCATGCTTGCATTGGTATGAACAGATTTTACAAACAAAAATCATTTTCTGAAAAAAGGGGGTATTATTAACACAGGTACATACTTAATATCGTTTAACCCAATTTTGGTCTCCATGGCTTAAATCCAGTGACAGACTAACAGGGTAACTGCATGAAGATTTTTTTTAATGTGGGGTTGGGGGTGGGCTGGGCTGGTATCATTACCACAGTTAAAAGATTCATTAAGTCTAATCCCTGTTTGTCTCTCCATGTAATGGCCATATAGAAGTGGATTCCTATTACCAGTGATCAGATATAAATTTGTGTCTTTGTTTCCAATAACAGATCTCCTGTATTGGTGTTCTAATAAAACCTCGAACTATTACAAGGATCAATACTGTATCGGACTATTACAAGGATCAATACTGTATCGGTTGGCCTAGCTGACTTGATGGACTGGGTTAATTTATTGACCCCCATTTTATTGCCCTACTTTTAACAAATTTGACTGATAATCCCCCTGAGGCCACTGTATTCACACAATAAAAGTGGTTCATTATCTCTGAGGTTCTATTTGGGTGCTATACAGTGCCTGTCTCAATATCATCAGTGAAATTATGTGTTCCTCTCAGATCAAATTTTGTTCAAGTTTTCAAACCATCAGCTGTGAAATTACCACTTGTGTGAGCTTTCGAAACAAAATCAATTATGTTATATTTTTTGGTTTTAGTCTTTTTATATACAGGTCAGCATAAAGCACAGCCGGTAAAGTATTTATGTGATGCTTTGATGACTAACTACAATATGACAATATGATTTCAGCTACATTGTAATACGACATATAACATATAAATACTTTCATTACTATGTATTTACGTCTAATTTAGGAAAAATTACTGAAGAGTTTAGGTGACAATGTTATTTCAAATGACATATTGATCTAAGCTGAAAGATGTAAGAACTTTAAAATCAAACTCGATTTAAGTTTTTACATTTCTTTTTGTATTTATGTCAATGTTTAAATAAGATTTAAATAAAAATTAATAAAAAGATTAGGAGACCCTGTGATTTAAATGATCCGAAGGAACTAATCAAGCTCCATTTGCAGAAAAAACTTTTTAAAGAACGATATCAATCTAAAGTGATGTTAAACAAATTAATCAATTGTATAAGGTACAAACCATATCCAGCATCGTGGATTTTCCGACGACTACAGCATTGAAAGAGAGGCATTTCCTTTACGTAGAAATATACATCATCACTAAGGAGCTGTCAATCAAAATTCAATGTAATCACACCATGGGTACAACTAAACATCGAGCCCCGCTCGGGCCTTAATGGAACATCTACACACTAATAACATATTGGTTCTGTACGCCGGTATTTACAAATCAATTGCACAGCCTCTTTTCTGAATGAGTACACTCAACCGACCGTCACCCTTTCAGCATAAGCTGTGCACTGATGAATGAATCCCTTTGACTTGACCCCTAATCTCGGCGAAATCCCTCCGGAACGGAATGCACAATCTGACAAACTCATGACGGTTGTCGACTGGCTGATAGCACTTGATGCCACTGTTCAATCCCTGTCACAGACAAATTGTTGGGTTCCTTAATATTAAAGACTGCGGTGCTTCGGTACAAAATCCATAGTGACCCGAAGATTGAACCACCACCGGGCTGAATCGTACAATTGTATACCGTACTATTTTACGGAACTGTTAGTGAGTGCCCTATTTCAGCATCTCTCCCGAGTCCGATACTCCAATATAATATCTAACTCCGTGAGGATTGTCGGAAGACTGACAAACTGGTTTTACGTGACATGTCTATCCCACGAGAAATGTACATAATACACAGGATGGCAGATAATTGGTCCACGATGGAGAAAACCTAGATGTACTGCACAGACGAAACCGACATCATATATATATATATCTAGACGTGTAGTTCAAGATTGAAATGCATTTATGAGTACTCAAAAGTATTGATTTTCCGCCTACAGTAATGCGAAACAAAATGCCCTCAAGATTTGTAATAGAATAGCTTATTGCCAGATTTGCTTTTTGATTTGTTTTAAAAAGCCTTTTATGTAATGAAAGATCTCCGAGGTCATCAAAGGGCTTAAATATTACTGCAGCCCTAAATCTGATTCAGGCTCGAAAACCCTGTCCTCTGAGCTCCGACGGCGAACCTTATCTGAAATCACAGGATTGCCAGACCAATTCAATGTATAGCTGAAATCTTCTTATTTCACACTCATGAACCTCTATCAAATTTACGCTTGAAATACAGAATCACAATCACTTTGCTGTTCGACTATATTGTATGTATAGAAATCAGAATAAGGATCCAATTTTTTCTGTTGCACAATCTTAAATTGTTTTCAAACTGATTTCTTAATACATGTTATCTGAAAATTCCTTTACGTATCAGCACACATATGGTCATCACATGTACGGTATAGATCTAGACAAATTACACTTCCATTGTTGGTCAAATTGTCATTGGTGACCATTGTCACTAAGAATTATGATGAAGAAATGTTTTTTTTCATTCAATCCTCCATTGATAATGTCAATAAAACACAACAACAGATCCGGTTCCACAGAATCTTATAATGCCAGTACACGCAGCCAGAGGTATTTGAAAATTTAAGTTGCTAATGATTCCAATGTTCAGTAGAAATTTTCAGTTCTAAGTAAAACTTATTATTTGAAACAAGTTTCATCAGTTTCTAGGAATCTGACAACATCCAGAGTAGCAACTCATTAAGAAATTAATAGTATTTTGTCACCAAAAAGTGAAGAAGTTCTGTTTGTTAAACTGTGCGTTTATCCAAATGTATGTGACTCCAGGAGGAACCTAGAAATGCTGTTTATATAAAATAAAAAAATCGCCATAATAGTCGACATACAGTTCCAAAAGGCCAAACATGGGTCAACATCTAATTGTGGCGGTTTACTTCTTCAAGGATACTCTTCATTAAAATCAATACTGGTTAAATTAATTCCAATTGATTACAACAGACAAAAGAGTTCCAAAGTTCCTAATATCCGACATCAATGTTCACAAATAGTTCCATTTCACAACAACCATTTTAAAACAGTACTTGATGTCAGGGTTTTGAGTCCAACATTTGTCTGCGTTCTAATACATCCTCTGTAAGACCTTGATGTAATGATGTTCTCATTGAGTCGACACAACTTCACGGTTTCTGTTTGACAAATTTGAATCCCATTAGCACCTGGTGCACACCTGTATGACCAACATCAGTAAGACGGAATATGTATTCTTTACGCGTACGACTGTTGTACTTATATGATTACAGCTGTCGCAGAATCAATCTGACGCTACAGTAAACTAGAGTACCTGGAGCTCCCTGGAGCAGCACTGACGGTGGTTACGCCTTCGTTTATCTAAACCAGCTTACAACCATTCATCCATTTTATTGTCAATAAAACTATTTTATACTTATACAGCTTCAGAACAGGTTCATAATTGACTAAT